GCTGAGTAAGCAGCACCAGGAGAGGCTGTGTTGCACTGGCTGAGGAAGGAGGAGACCCATGGCTTAGCCTTCTCTGATACTTAGCAATTAAACAAAAATCCCAGTGAAATCAGGGATATGACCAAATCAGTATGATAAGACCTGCATTAAAACTGAAAAGTTTATTTCCTATAATTCTTTAGGTCTGACTGTAACAGATACACAGGACTCTCCTGCAGCACAGTGACCTGACCTCCCCACTGTATTAGGACTAAGAACCATTTTTATTGTTTTTTCCTCCAATGGATACTATCATCTCCCAGAACACCTGCACATCCATGTTTACTGCAGCATTATTCATAGTAACTAAGATACGGCATCAGCCTAAGTGCTCAACAACAGGTGACAGGATATTTAAAATGTGCCGTATGTACACTACAGAATAGTACTTAGCTATAAAGAACAGTGAGACTGTCACTTGATACAAACTGGATGAGTATGTAAAAATTAATGCTAAGTGAAATAAACCAGACTATGAAAGGCAAGCACTGTATATCCCCACTCAATATATACTGTATGTCTGCACTGTATGGCAGAAATTGAGACTCAAAGACGTACTAGTAGAGAAGACAGTGTAGACACCAGAGACTGTGTGGGACAGGCTGGTGGGAGGCTGGTGGGGGGGCTCGGGAAAAAAAGGATTTTAAAGACCCAATAATTATGTTCTAAGTTGAAAACTATGTACATGATAATATCCCTGGTTTGATTATTAGGCTCGGCATGCATGCTTTGAAAACCCATACGGCATGCCATAAAGATGTACGACAATTAAATGTAAATAAAAAATTAGAAAACAAAAGGAGAGATTCCTTTTTTATTTTTAAAGCTTCATTAGAACAGAAGTTCCATGAAGACAGGTATTTCCGTCTACTCTCTTCACTGACAATTCTCCAGTACCTAGGCTGTGCCTCCTATACACCAAGCACTGAGATATCTGTGGCTGGAATCATTACACCACAACCAAACAGGACTTACACCCAAGATTAATGCCAAGAAGGACACTTACTCGAAAACTTCTAAGGGTACAGTAATATCATGAAGCTGTTGTCTGCATTTATCAATATCTTGCAAGCCAGTGACGATAAAATTCCTGAAGGAAAGGAAGAAAACAGGGCCATGTGGTTAATGCAGATGACAACACTGACGCCACCCACAGAGCCACCTGCGACCGGGGCTCCCCGTTGTGCTCCCTACACCTGCCAGGTTACACAAGCTCACACTGCTTTGAATAACTGTGGGTTCACTAGAAGCGAGCGCATGGCGGAGGACCTGCTGCTTCAGGATCCACACTAGAGTCCTTACACCCCTGCCGGCAGGCTCCTGGCTACTCGCACAGCACGAGGCTTGTCAAGGGACTGCAGAGACTCGTCACAGGTCTGTACCCCCTACAAAGCGTGAGCCCGTCCCGACGGCATTTTATCTGTGTTTACTTGTTCTCAGCAAGCCCAGCACGACTAGCAGAGGCTGCTTCCAAAAGAATGAGGAAACTTTCCTGCTTCAGGAACTTTCCGCGGCCCTTCGGGGCCACCGCACCTCCGGCTCCCCCAGGGCCGGGCGCCGCAGCAGGTCTCTGGGGCGCCTCATCGCCCCGCCCGAGCATGGCGGAGGGGACGCGCGCCCCGGCCAGCGGTCCGCCGGGTCGGCAGCGGCGGGGGGCCAGCCAGGCACCCAGGACCCGGCTCCCCGACGCCGGGACGGACGGCGGCCACACTCACAGCTTCTGGTTGAGGTTAGCCTGGCTGCTGGGCTGGAAGTCACTGACGATGATGCCGAGCTGCCGAATGTTCTCCACGAACTTCTCCAGGTGCTCCTCCAGGTGGTCAAACTTCTCCGCCATCGCCGCCGCCAGACCGCGCCTGCGCGGCCACCGCCAGCACACCCACGGGAGCGGCCTTGCTCCCCCACTTCCTGCTTCCGCTCGGGCACGTACCACTTCCGTTTCCTCTAAGGGCGAGGCCGGCTGACTGTCGAGGGCGGGGCCTGGATGCTGGAATGGGCGTGTCGGGGCCGGGCTGGGGGCGTGGCCCGGCTTGTGGGTTGGGCTAGAGCTTGAGGGCGTGGTCTAGGTTGCGGGGTGGGCGGGGCTCGCGCAGGGGGCTGGACGGCCGCACTTCGCTCTGGGTCGGGAGAGCCCGCCGCCGGGTCTAGGTTCCCAGACTGGTAGGCTCAGTCCGAGGTCCGCAAGGACCCCGCTCGTCCTCCACGGGCCCTGGGCCTTGGATAAGTCCCCAACCTCAGTAATGAGACCGGTCAGCTCTCGGAGGTTAGAGGAGTTAACTCCTGGAAAGGGTTAGGCGCAGCAGACAGTGCTTGGGGAAAGTGGCTTGTCCCAGGATGGGAATGCCACCAGCCCCTTACCTAAGTCATCCTAAGGCCTTGGAGACCAGCCCTTCCTGCACTCCTTTACCTACATGTACAACCGCCTGCAGGAAACGCTCTGCTCGGCCTCTCCTTCCCACACCCCAGGCCTGTACAGCTGGTAGGCGGCCCCTCCTGCAGCGGGCCCTTGGAGCCCCCGCCTCCGCCCTGACCCAAAACGGCAGCTCTGGCTGAACTTCACAACCCAACTTTCCAGGGGTAATTTGCCGTCCTCAAATGAATAATTAGCAATCAGGGAAGCTCTTGGCGACTTATAGCTAGTGTCATACCTGAGGCTTCGAGTCCCAACTACAGCCAGTCCCTCCAGCGGCGACTGGGCTTGGGAGAAGGTGAACACTGCACGCAAAGCGCCATCTTAAAACGGCACTACTTAGGAGAAAATCGCCACCCTGGCGTGAGACACCGAGCAGAGGAAGCCTCTTGCCCTCCAGTTAGATTTTTTTTTTTTTTTGGAGAGGTTTTTTTGCTATAGGGCGTGTGTGCTCGCCAGACAGACAGAGAGAGACAGAGAGACCTAAAGTGAGAAATCAGCCGCCCAGGGGGGATGGCCACGCTGCAATCCCGTCTCCTCCATTCTCCTCTAGGGACCTTGGGCACGCACGCACGCACACGCGCCTGGCGTGAGTTTAAGCCACCGGGTCCGGGACTCTAAAGGGCAGTTGACTATGTGGGAGTCCAGCGACATAGCCATTGCGCTAACTGCTGGTCTCCCCTCCAGTTAGAATTTTGAAGTTAGCCCAGGCCTCCTTCTTTTCTCCTGCATGTAATTAGACGCTTCCTCTTTTAACTCAGGTCTACCACCTTCCCTAACTCCAGCTGCCTTCCTAGCTGGGGCCTGCCTCACTTCTCCCTGCCTCCTCTACACAGCACCCATCTGGACAGAGGTCTCTCCAAGGCACCAAGTTTCCAGGAAGCTGCTGTTCATTAATCTTGCTAAAATCCAATTCACTCATAACACTCTCATGCTTAACAAACGTTTCTGCCCTTTATTCTGTGAGTAGCTGCCATCTCCTTCAGCCTGTCTGGATTCCTCAAGCCTCGGTCACTTCTTTAACTGAATAGCATAGGATTTATTATCTGTGCTTTTCTTTTATTATTATTATTATGTGTGCTTTTTGGGTCCTGGAGTCTTAGGCAAAATGCTGGAGTTCTTGGCTAGAAGATCTGCCAAGCCTCTCTAAGCTTTGACCAGAAACAAACTCTGAAAGGGTTCGTGATCTGCCAGACTTACAGAATCAGGGACTCCAACTGATGTGGTGGGCTGGACTGGGGTGGAAGACACGATTTGCCTGGTGGATACACAGAAATGTCAAAGTACCCACCTCCCAAACTAACAGCAATTGACGACAGGGGAATTTTGAAACATGGAAGAAATAAAATACTTGACCAAAAAAGATGATGAGGAAGAGGCAGAGATCTGAAGTTAACAGTCCTTAATTTCAAAAGAAAGGAAGCGTTGTATTATTGGAACTTAGACTTCATTAAGCATTTGTTTTAAGAAGTGTAAAGGAATTGCTTTACTATTGGGTCATTGTGGGAGAAGTCCTGACACATTTTTGCATAGAAAAACAGAAACAGCTTCTACTGCTGCGCCTGGTGCTGCCTGTGTGCTCAGTCCGGGAGGACCTGGCACCTCTTCTGTGACGTGACAGCTGAGGAGACTCTGATGCTCACAATGGCCGACGGAAGCCCAAGGAAGGAAACGGAGCTCAAAGGTCTGGGGGCTCAGACAGATCCTGGGGCCTCACCGGGTCGGACTCCTCCACTCTGATGCTCACAATGGCTGACAGAAGACCAAGGAAGCAGTCCAGACTGAGAACAATGCTTATATTAATCTGAAGGTGGCAGGGCAGGATGGTTCAGTGGTGCTGTTTAAGATTACGAAACACACACCAATTAGTAAACTAAGGAGAGCCTATTGTGAACGACAGGGCTTTCAATGAGGAAGATCAGATTCCGATTTGATGGGCAGCCGATCAATGAAAGGGACACACCTGCACAGCTGGAGCTGGAGGATGAAGATAAAGCTGATGTGTCCCAACAGCAGACAGGAGGTGTCTACTAAAAAGGGAACCTGCTCCTTTACTCCAGAACTCCGCTCTTACAGACCAAGAGTATGTTCTCATTAGGAAACCACCATTTGGTTTCACTGCGTTCTGACGACGACAGTACAGTTTTCTCAATGCTTTCATCATCCCTTCCCCATTCCTTTACTGTACATGAAGTAACTGGTGTATGTGCACAAGCATAGTGCATTTCTTTAAAACTAACTGCCTAATGGTATATCTCGACTAGCATCAAATGGAGATGGGATAGGGAAAATACTGGTTCTGTGAAAGTAGCCTCTTTGCCCATTATTTGATGCACTCATTCAGCTCTGACCTTTATATTCCAGTAAGTCATTTTGCTCTCACTGTTTTAATTAAAAAAAAAAAAAAGGAGGGTGGGGAAATGCTAACAACATAAAAATCCTTGCATACTTTTTTTTTTTTTGGAAAGGTTTTTCGCCATAGGGCGTGTGCACTTGCCAGACAGACAGACAGAGACATAGAGACAGAAAGCGAGAAATCACCCCCCAGGGGGAATGGTCACGCCGCAATCCCTTCTCCTCCATTCTCCTCTTGGGATCTTGGGCACGCACACACATGCGCCCGGCGTGAGTTCTAAGCCACCGGGTCCGGGATGCAATCCGCGGTCGACCACGTGGGAGTCCAGCAACATAGCCATGACGCTAACTGCTGGTTCCTGATACCTTTTTTCACTGGAGAATTTCAATGTTTTTCATTTATCATTGTAAAGCCAAGGACAATTTTGTAACTTTTTTATATGTAGCTGTTACATATAGGAAAATCTGTTTTTAAGTAAGGGTAAATTACTCTAATTTAAAAAAAAAAAAGGAATTCTAGATAGTTTTCCCTTCAAGTCAGGCATCTTGTTGTTTAAATAAACTTCTTGTTTAAAATGGAAAAGAAAATAAAGAAAAACAGAAATAATACATTATCACTTTTCAGACAAGCTAATGGACTTTGTCACTTCCAAACGAGTAGAAAGGAGAGGACAAAGAAATAAAGAAAACACAATCAAACTCAACAGGAGGCAAGAAGCAAAGAACAAGCATGGAAGATAAAATGCACAATACAAAAGAAAAGAATTGAAGATAACAGCTCAATAGCAAGAAAACAACCCAATTAATAGAAATAGGCAAAGGATCTCAACAAACATTTCTCAAATGACATAAAAATGGCCAACGTGGACCTGCAGATGGCATAGTGGTCACGTTGCTGGACTCCCACATAGTCCACCATGGTTCAAGTCCCAGACCTGACGTCCTGAAAGTCATGCTGGGTGCATGTGCATGTGTGCCCAAAATCCCAAGAGGAGAATGGAGAAGGAATTGTGGTGTGGCCTTTCCCCCTGGGCATGGCGGGGGGTGATTTCTCAGTTTCTGTCTCTCTGTCTCTTCAGCAAGTGCATGTGCCCTGTAGCAAAAAAAAAAAAAAAGTCATACATCTGAAAAAACACTTGACATCACTGATCACCAGGGAAACATAAACTAAAAGACTTAAAACAAGTTTAGAAATTACGCTGTGGGGTGTGTATAGCACTTGCCTGTGTTCCTTGTCCCAGTGGTTGGGTGGCTTCACCGGGACTAAGGATGACATGTCCAGTTGGACTGTGGGCTGCAGACACTGCTTCCCCCACACACAGGTGTTTCTGAGGGGTTCTGAGGCTTCCTCATCTCATGGAGGTTCAGTGTCAAAAGTGCACACCTCTGGAGTCAAGGAAAAGCAGTGTCACCTCTCCAGACCTGCATGGAGGTCCCACTGTAGCAGGGCACATTGGTTCCCAGGGAGGGGACACAGACTCCACCTTGCAATGGGAGAAGCAAGACATAACACCATGGGGGGAGCAGGTGAGACAGAAGAACTCATGGAAGTCATTTTGGGGAAATACAATCTGTTGCACATCACGTTGGAGAAAAAAGTGAGATCTACTGGGCTTGTCCTTGAATTATATGAGTGATTGAGTATCATATCTATTAATGTAGCTATGTCTACTGGGATTAAAGGAGAAGAAAAACTCAGGTAGATTTTTTAAATAGATATTTGATTTAAAAAGTCAACCCAGTTCTTGAGTTTTTTCCTAAAAAAATCTTCTGAGAAAATTAATAGAAAGGAACTTCCTAATATGATAAGGGAGAGCTGTTAAAAGTTAATGGGGGCTAGCCAGTGGAGTGGTTAAGGAAGCTGGATCCCACATGGCCAACTACATGGTTTGAGTCCCAGACCCAGCAGATTAAAAAACATGCTGGGTGCATGTGTGTGCATGCCCAAAAATCCCAACAAGAGAATAAAGGAGAAGGGTGTGTGGCATGGCCAACACCCCTGGGGGAGCTTTCTCACTTCCCCTCTGTGTCTCTTTTTTTTTTTGGAGAGATTTTCACTGTAGGGCGCGTGCGCTCGCCAGACAGACAGAGAGAGACATAGAGACAGAAAGCGAGAAATCACCCCCCAGGGGGGATGGTCACGCCGCAATCCCTTCTCCTCCAT